TGGCTCTCAAATGTTGTTACATCAATGAATGAATACACTATGTCCTATGTCATTGTTGCGGGGGGTGGGGGGATAATACAATATCATTCAGGTCTGATCATCTGGTACTTGTGGGCTTTTTAAAGAATCTTCCTGAATACCTGTCACAAGCAGTTATTTTTAAAAGATGGTGTTGGTAGAAGACAGGGGTTGCCAACCCAGATGTCTGCACAGAAAAGCAGACTGTGTTTATGATCTCCAGTTTGTTTTGGAATGCGCAGCTCACTCTGTTTATCTTTTGTTTTCCCAATTCTGATTGAGATCGTGATGCAAAGAAATTTCTCTTCGGTAAGAAAATCAGAAAGGCAGGTGTGATGATAAATAGCATGAGGCATATACCCTCGCCAGTGGGAAGCAGTAGGGAGCGGCGGGGACTGAGGTGAACTGAAGGTGCCATTCCACCTCTCCTGGGGTCCCAGTGTTGCCACAGTTGTCATTTTTCCAAGATAAGCTGGATTTTTATATGAACTTTTCCTATTTTTAAACTTTGGCTCAAATAAAACTAATTTTGGGGACACCCCCTCTCCCCCAGGATATCAATTTGAAATCTCTGACACATGTTGGTGAAGATTAGTACCTGGGATGGGCTCCCAGGTCATCTCTCTCTGGTTGGTCTGGTCTGGGGGTCCTGGCAGAGCCGTGTGCGCAGGAGGCTGCTATGTTCATCCTTGCATTCAGACGTGGAAGAATCTAAGACATGTAAAGTAACAAGCAAGTGGTAGAATAATATATAGTTTTATTTTATTTAAATAATTTTTTTTAAAAAAGATGTATAGATAAAATTTTAAATGCATAAAAATTTCACAAGAAATGTAAAGGCATTGCCTCTGAGATGGACACTGAATTGGAGGCAAGAAAGGAGCTTCTGCTTTCTTAGATTGTGCCCTCCTATAGCACGTAGTGCTTCGTTTTGGGGAGGTAAAATGAAAAGAGTTGGTGGGGAGTGTTGCTGTGTGGAGAGTGTAAGCCTTCCATGCTGAGTGTAGAGGACAAAGAAAAGCAGAGCAGCCTGGGGTGATCGGGAAGGACCACTGGGAAGAGAAGGGGCCTTGAAGGCTGAGCAGAATTTTTAAATTATTTTTTTTTTATATTTTATTTATTGATTTTAGAGAGAAAGGGAGAGAGATAGAGAGATAGAAACATCGATGAGAGAGAAACATTGATCACCTACCTGCCTCCTGCATGCCCCCTACTGGGGACTGAGTCCACAACCCGGGCATGCACCCCCACAGAATCGAACTGGTGACCTCTTGGTTCATGGATCGACACTCAACCACTGAGCCACACTGGCTGGGCGGGCAGACTTCATTAGGAAAAAGGAAGGCAGGAGTCCAAGCCCAGAGGTAGGAAGGCAGGGTGAGTTGGGCACTCGTGAATAATTAAGTATGGCAGGAGCCAAGGGTATAGGGAGGTGGTGAGAGATAAGGAGGCTGTAGGAGCCAGAACGGGTGTGACGGAGACACTGGACTGGGAGCTGTGCCCCAGCATGACTGACTCGGCTGCAGGGACCAGGAAGTTTGGAGGCAGGACTGCAGGGCGGGAGCCTCTCACGTGGCCTCTTCTGGCTCCTGGGTAGCTGTCACCCCTTCCTGCTAGGGTGTTGCTTTGTGAACAAAGGTAATGCCTATACACCTGATGAGTAGTAAGCTCATGGCGCTTTCTGTTTCTCCACTCCCAGGCGTGTGGGCTTTGGAAGCTTCCGACCTCTGCTGGTGCAAAATGTGGTTCCTGTACCCCTGAAACCAGCACGTCTCCCCAGACATTTTGGAGGTTCTGTAGGGCAACTGGCCACTAGCTGAAGTGTAGTCACTATAAACCAGCCCACACTTTGGAGTCAGGCAGATCTGGGCATGAATTCTGACCTTGCCACTTACTGGTTCTGTGACCTTGGGAAGGCACTTGACTCCTTTGGGCCTCAATGCCTTCGTTTGTAAATGAAGGTAAAATGATATACCTTCTAGGGTTGTTGTAGCTAACAGATTGATACTCAGCAAGTAGGTGTGCCTATACTTTTCTATTATGACACCTCCTCTGATCTGTAGTTATGTATATTGATATTACAGGAGTGGGCAAAGGTAGGTTTACACTTGTTCATATGGAAAATAATACAATAAATAATAATACAAGAATATACTCTGATTTGCGTACTCACGACTGTAAACTTACTTTTGCCCACCCCTGTATTTATGTTCAATATGTAAAATACATATTTATTTGTTTCTATATATGGCCATGTCCGTCTAGTCCAGTGGTTCTCAACCTTGGCTGCACATTAGAACCACCTGGGAATCTTTTTAAAATCCTGATTTCTGGGCCTCATCCTCCGGAAATTCTGTCTCTTTGTTATGGGGTGGGACCACAACATTAGTAACAAAGAAACAGAATTTCCGGAGGATGAGGCCCAGAAATCAGGATTTTAAAAAGATTCCCAGGTGATTCTAATGTGCAGCCAAGGTTGAGAACCACTGGTCTAGTCTGGATTGTAAGTTCCTTTTCAGTGGGGATAATTATGTCCTAAACATTGTTTTACCCCAAAGAACTGAGTATTAAGCCCATAATAGGGCTGACTACATGTTGGACGAATGGAGTTTGTGTTCTCAACCCTACTCCAGTCTTTACAGCAGCGGACTTGTGATTGAGGAGGATGTGTCTGCAGGCTGGGGATATCTCCTCCGTGGCTAAAACAAGTGTTGTTCGGCTGACGTGTCAGGATGATGCGTGATCATTTTGCTATGGCAGATCTATATTTTGTGGCACTTGATGTTTCTATGTTTTGGGAGGACTTCTTTTAAAATGTATGAAATTGCACAAGGTATGCCAACACATTGCTAGGGCCCTTCCGGAGACCTTAGATGGGGCTTGTGAAAGTGAGGGGCCTTAGAACTTGAGCTTTATTAGTTTCACAGCAAGTCATCTGAGCATTTAGAGACTGGTAGAACATTCACTGCAGGCAGTGGTAGGAGTTATGAAGGATGTGGAGATTTCTAAAAGGGAAAAAAAATGCTGGTACAGGTTTTAGTAAACCTGTCATTCCAAGTAGGCTCAATAAAATTTGCCTGTATTGTTTTTTTCATTCAACAGATATTTATTGAGTACCTGCTGTGTGCCAGGCACTATGTAAGCACTGGAATGTAGCTGTGAAATCTGCGTGGTGCTTGCATTTAGACCAGGGGTGGGCAACCCCTGGCACGCCTGCCAAACATGGCACGCCAGTAACTTTTGCTGGCACACGAAACCCTCTCTTATAATCTTCCATTTACAATTTTTTTCTTAATATCGACTTTTATATTTTTCAGATAAATTCAGTGTAGGTGCATCTTAGATAAATAAATAATTTTACATATCAAGTTATCTTAAAGACCATAGACATGGATTGACGAGAGAGGGGAAGAGCAATTTCTATGCCTCTGCCTTAACTCTCCCTGCCTTCCTAGATCCGACCAGTGTTTTGGTTTCATTCACATATGCTTATGAATCTTTGTTCTCAGTGATGAATTTTGTTAAGTCTCATAAGAGGAGTAGCCTGATGGATGAAAGTAGTAGCTCGTGCATATCTCTGAAGGGCACGAAATATAAACCTGATATAAAATCTCTGTCATCAGTGATGCAGCAGCAAAAGTCCCACTGATAATATCAGAGTCATAAAGTTTTCTGTTGGACTATCATTGTACATGTATACATTAAAAAATAAATGTATTTTTCATCATCATATAAGGTGTTTTTGATGCTCGAATGAATTTTATTATTTCTTCAAGTTTCTTCACATACGTACACCTTAAGAGATATCAAGTAGGCGTAACATGTTCTCAGAAAATTAGGGTTGGCACGCAGAAGAATTTTGAGTCAGAGATTTTGTTGGTTTTGGCACGCACTCACAAAAAGGTTGCCCACCCCTGATCTAGACCTAGGTTGCAAAGAGCCACAGTGTTGATATTGGGCTGTGGGGATAAAGCCACAGGTAGTAAAGGCATTTTGGTTTCTTAGTTTCACTTCTGATCCCTCTCACTTTCTCCTTTTCAGGCCTTTTCTGGGAATGAGAGCCACAGGGTTAAATTGATGCTGATTGGACCTTAACCATCCCAAACAGTGACGAAAGAGCCATAGATTGTTACGAGGGGGAGTAGGTACAGTGGCTTTTAACTGCTCGACCCTTCCTGGCCCTCACTGTGTGAAATACAGGTTTCCCCTGCTCCCTGAAAGTAGAGCTTTCTTATGAAACCTTTTGTAAGATGAAATAGCGTAAAGCGAAGTAATTACCATTAATTTATGTGGAAAATTTTTGGAATGTTCCAACACTCCCCCAAAAACTTATCAAATTATACCAAATAACTCATAAAACCTAAAATAGCACTACCATATAGTAAAAGCAGTAATGCACAATATAAGTCGAGATAAAGCAGAGGCTCTCACTTGGGGCGCGTGCTGCCTTTGCAACAGCTCCCTGCAAAACAAATGCTGAACGCTATTTTTGCTTCTCACCTTTTTTCCGTAGAAGCGAACATCCTCTTTGGATTTCTTTCAGTTAGCAAAAACAGGTACTCATTAATGTCGGTCTTTCGTGAAAGTGAGAGGTGTAACTTGACCTTTCGAAAAGGGGGCTACAGTGATATGGGAGCCATCATTTCTCCATCAAAGGCTCTGCCGTGGAGTCGATTTCAGCCAGTGTGGCAGAACAGAGCAATTCCTTCCGACTCCAGAGCTTGTTAGGGTAGGGTGTTTCTTATGTCCTATTTCTAGAGGGACAGCCAGCCCGAGCCTCAAAGAACAGAAGAATCAAGGCTGGAGACACACAGCACCTGCCTCACAGTTCACCCCCAGCAGCGCTCCGCTGGGCCACGGCGGGGTGGTGACTCAGAGCTGGAACTGTGTTCCTGCACCGTTGCCAGATTTTGCATCAGGGGCGGGGAGGAAATAGAATGAATGAGTAGGAGCAAGTGGCTGCTAGATTTGTAACACCTTGGGAGGCAGCTGCTCCAGAACCGAAATCGAAAGCAAGCAGGTGGACTGGGAGCTCGCGCTTTACCTCTGCAGATGCCCAGGTCCTCCCCCCACGTCTGACCTGGACTGGGGTTTTCATCAGGCCAACATGACGCTCAAGGAGAGAGTGTGTCTGCTGCCTTCCCCGGCGAGAACAGGAGAGCAGGTTAGTCCTGTCCTGGTTTCTTCAGGATTCGGTTTGCTGCGATGTAGTCCGATTCATGAAAACCCAAGTCATGACGGAAAGAAAGGGAGTTTTCTGTGGCTTTAGTTGGGAGTGCCTGCAGTTAAAAAACAATACTCTGTTTTAATTGGGAATAAGTAGGACAAAAGTATCATTAGCTGCACCTCCCTGATGTCGTTACAAAGGATATTCTGTTGGGAAGGACAGCTGCCCGCCTGCTTCCTTTGTGTTTTCACGTATGTGCAGTGCTGTCACATCTCGGTCTGTGGCTCCGGCAGGAGCCTGAGATGAACCTCAGCACCTTCAGACGTTGTAGCTAGAAGACCGCCTGGTCCAGCCTTCTCACTTTACACTTAGCGAACCTCACTTACTGAAGAGTATTAAACAGAAGCATAAAATTGGGTGTTCTCTGAGATCGAACATGCTTCCTGTGCAGTTTTAAAACTTCTCTAGGGTGTGCGTTTCTAGCTGAGCACAGCCTGGTGGAAGGCTTTTCTTCTTCGGCCACACTTTCCGAACCATGGGCCTCAACCCAGCGAGGGACAGACGTGTGGCTGAAGGAAGGCGCCTCTTGATCTTAAACTACTTTGCCTGGCAGGCGAGTTCTTTAAATAGAAGTTTAAACAGGAGGCTTGGGTTGTGCCTTAACTCAAAAGGAAGAATGTGTTCTTGAGCTGCTGTTCTGTGGAGGGCTAATGATACTGGAGCTGGCAGCGTGGAAGCAGATAAAACAACTCGATTAGAGAAGAGTTTCAGAGCTAGCACAAGAAAAATCTAACAGGCACTGAAGATTGAGTGTTTGCTGTAGGCCAGACACATTATCGGCACTCTTCACAACAATCTTGTCAGGTTGCAGTGGTCTTCTC